GGCGGGGACACCGGCGGTGTCCCCTGGTCCCAGCGCCGCGTAAAGGCAGAGCTGCTTCTCGTTCCAGGTGGGGTTCGAGGATGTGATCGCGGAGCCCGAGCTAACCCACTCCTTCGACAAAGTCTGGATCTGCAGCCACGCTCTCTTCGAGCTCAGCAAGTACCTGATCTACAAGCTCCTGAGCCTGGTCCTTGCCATACCCATGGCCCTGGTTCTGGCGCTTGTCTTTGCGGTGCTCAGCTGGCTGCACATCTGGTAAGTGCATCTGGGTGCTCGTCGGTTCGTGGGCTCTGCAGACAGTTCAGGAAGCACTCGTGTTGATTTAGTGCCTACATGTTGTCCACTACCTTTACAACCGATAGTCAGATCGATTTACATTATCTGTTTTTAAAGGGAGGGAAATTAAAACGTTTGTTCTGGGATTCAGTTCCCTGCTGGTTCACACCAGCAGTCTGCCTTGTCTGTGTAAGTTCCTGAGGGCAGAGAGCCTGTTTTACCATTTGCATGGTACCTACCCCAATGTATCCCAGCCTTGGCTGGTTTCTGGAGTAATAATAATGATTGCCTGGGTTTTGTTAACTGGAGTACAGACGTTGTTAAAATACATGTATTTGAAATGCAAGACCTGGACAGAAGCATTACTTACATCTGACACCTTCTCAGGGTGGTTACCTCTTTTGCTTTTTTCCTCACAGACTGAAGAGACTGTTTTGGGCCCAGCTTGCTCTTTCTTTGCTACAGCCACACAATCTGCTGTCACAGCCTTACATCTGGTGCATGGCCATCTCTAGATGCAGTGCCCCATGGCCCAGGTTCATAGGCAAATATAGTAGCCCTCCCAGTCACAGCAAACCTGCTGTGCTTTAAACATAATATTCTAGCAGAATATCAGGGAAGAGTACCTCGAGATGAGAAAGGAAGATGATTGTGGAGAAGGAGGAAAGGCAGTGAAAAGAACAGCTTGAGGAAAGAACTGAGAATCCACAAGGCTGCAGAGGAAGGGGTGAATACAGGTTATCAACATCATTCCTGCAAACCAGGAGTTTCCATATGCATGGGGTTTGGGCTGTCTCATTTGTCTTGGGTAGCACTGGAATCATGAAGAAGTCATTAAGGAGAACAAAATACAATCCAGAAACTGAAAACAAACTCAAAGTAATAGTGATAGATCAGCTGTCTGAACCTGTGGTTGCAATCTTGTGGGTTCAGATTTCAGTTTTTGGAAGTGGAATGGATGTTTGTGTAGCTAACACTGTCACAAGCCACTTCAAAAACTGATTAACTTGAATTTTGGAACATGAAGTTTGCATAACATCTTAAGGAGTTGCAGCCTAAGTTAGAGCTGCCCACCTGCTGCTCCTCTGGTCTCCCAATTTTTATGAACACTGTATAGTCTGCCCAGAGTTTTAGGTCTGTCAGCTCTCTCTGTGCCATAATGTACTGTGTGACTGCAAAAGGGCACAGCTGGCTTATAGATTTCCAGTAGTGAAATATTGATGGAAGAATTCATTGATGCTCAATTTATTAAGATTAAATATATGTTGTGCTTCAGAATGATTGTGTATCTGGGTTTTACAGCCTGGATGAACAGACATGAGTTTCACTGAACCAGGACTCAGAGGTCAGTTTCTATTTATGCAAGTGGTCCCAAGTGACTCCTTCAGGGACTGTAGGTTCTCAGTGCATCTGAAATAGGACTATCTGAATGTGCCACTTCATTTGAAAAGTTTCCCTTGACTTTCTTTGAACATACTTGCTTCCCCAACAACTTAATTTTCCTTCCCTATGTTCATTGTGTCTACAGAAGTGATCTTTCAGGTTGCTTCCTTGCACCTGGGAGGGGTGTGAAAAACTAGCTCTGTCTGTACCCCTCGGATCCCATCCAGTGCTGCCATCCAAAGCCAACACTTTCTTTCCCACAACCTGGATTTGCTCCAACACAGAAGTGGAACACACAGAGACTAGGATAGCTTATCTGCAACTCTCCACATTCCAGATTTTTTGGGAGTAAGGAGTTCAGAGTTTCCGCATTTGAATGAGTAGCGTGGGAACAACAGATCTCAGAAGCATTGGCATAAGTGGCCTGAATACATGGTAGTGACTCCCATGTAGCCCCCCTGAATCTTTTTTGTGGGTGAGAGGAAGGAGTTCCATGTAACTCTTCAGCTGTTGAAACATCATGGGAAAACCCCGAGCACACCCTCCCACGTGGCTGCCTGCAGCAGGGCTTGTCACAGTCTCTGTGCCTTACTTTCCTCATCCAAACAGTGAACTGATGATGTTGATCTGTCCCAGGGGAGCCTTTCCTGAGGGTAGATTTGAAGGTGCTTTGAGAACTTTTGGAAGTGCTCAAGCACAAAGCTCTGTTGATTGTCACACATGTTGTGACAGTTTTATCAGCATGCTAAAAATCCACAAAAGTGACTCAGCATTCCTCATGCATCAAGAACAGCTCAGGAGCTGTGCCCCTTCCGTACCTGACAGTAAATACTGGCTTTCATCAGCAAAAAGTTTGCTAAAGAAGGAATCAAATATGTGAGACTTTATGGAAAGCAAAAATAAAGTTGAGGAAGAAGTATGTAATAATACACTTTCACTTTTATTTTTGCCAATGAAGAAGGAACTGGATCTGTTCTCAGATTGGCTGCTTGAACCACAGTCCAGTTTTACACTACCTGGCAAAAGGTACTTATGGGCTGAAACTGTGCCAGCAGGCAGGTTGGTGATGAGCCAGTTCAAGGGAGGCTACTTCTCCACATTTCTTCTCTTTTACTAATGGCTGTTATTCTCACCAGAGATTGTGGAAGTTGTCAAGACTGAGTTTTAATATCTTTCTGGAAATATCTGAGCAAGCTTTTAAACATGACCTTAGATTGAGGCTGTTAAGCTTATTGATTCTTAAAGATGAGCAGAACACTGCCAGTTTTCCAGGTAGCACAATGAAAATTATCTTTATTGTAGATCAGGGACTGATTGTTGTTCCAAGCCACATGTTTGTCACTTCTTGGACATTAACACTTGAATCTCATATATGCTTTGTTGTAGTCTTGTCTGAATAGTGTTCATGTATTTTGTGTATTTATGCTGAGAATCAGGGCCTCATTTGACAATCCCTATCTTGGGTTTTGGGTCTGAGATGGGCTCTAAAGTACAAGAACTCAGCAAGAACAGCAGGTACTCAAAGCTTCTCTCAGCTTGAACTTCCACACACAGTGCTAAGATGTAACCAGGGATTCACATGAAGAGTAGACACGGACTTGTGTCATCTCTTACCTCATTCTGCATGACCCAGTTTACAAAACTTATTGCTATCATACTCAACCCCCAAAACATCTCCCTACTGGCTGTCTGAAATCAAAAGACATTACAGTACAGCTATGTTGTGAAGACCCAACTTAGGATCTTGTGTTGCCCTGATGTCTCTTCATTCATGTCCAGTGGATATCCCTTGGCTTCTGATGAGGAAGTATGTGGATGTTGTCTTGCTTCCTTTTTAGTTTTATATTTTCCAGTCTACCCAGGTCCTGGGATATATAGTGTTTGGTTTTAATGCACTTCACATACTATGTGTGTGTCCTGGAAGACTTTGGTGGTTCTCTCTTGCCTTAGTCATGAATATCCGAGAGCTTAGTGGGACTCAACAAGAAGCTCTGCAACTGCTAGGCAATATTAGCAGTCTGTTCACAATGCTTGTTTGTATTGTACAGCCATACAAGACTTTTAGTTCACAATCATGATGTAGTACATGTGCATACTTGCAAATAGGTAGTTTAACCACTGAATGGTATAGCATTTGAAAAGTAGCATTAAGACATATCTGAGATTCCATTTTGAAAACCTTTACAGGAGAAGATGTGATTCTTCACTTAGAAGTAGGAATCTGAATTAATATTGAATGATGCTCCAATCACATTGCCCAACTCTGAAAAGTTGAGCTGCTTTGAACTGAAAATACCTCTGTCAGTGGGAATTAAATTGTGCTCAGCCATTTCCAAGAGGAGTTTAGTTCTCAATAAAGTTCCCTCAGCAGTTGGCATAAGAAAAGTAATGCAAGCAAATGTAGGAAAGGTCGATGGGTATAGTTGTGTAGATGTTATGTCTTGAACAGAAAGAAGAGAGGAGAGGAGAGGAGAGGAGAGGAGAGGAGAGGAGAGGAGAGGAGGGGAGGGGAGGGGAGGGGAGAGGTGGGGAGAGGCGAGGGAAACGAGGGGGAACACACTGCTGGCTCATGTTTGTGCTCCTTCAATCACTTCCAACTCCTAGTCTTGCCTTTGGCCTGTTTAGAAATATGTTATTTTCTTGGCTGTCACATGCATTAATATATGAAGTGTCTTATACAGTGGGGAACCGCCTTGTATGTAGGTACTTAAATTCGGGAAGGAGAGGAGAGGAGAGGAGAGGAGAGGAGAGGAGGGGAGGGGAGGGGAGGGGAGAGGAGGGGAGAGGAGAGGTAAAAAATGGGTAATTTTGTCTTCCCAAAAGCATTGGTTCCTTCTGTTTAGTGAAAGGATGGGTATTTTATGATGTATAGACATCGCAAGATTCAATGAGAGGTCAAATAGATTGTTGAAATACCTTGGCTACACTTCAGCTAAATTCATCAGAGCTTTGATTTTCTTCATAGAATCATACAATGGTTCGATTTGGAATGGACCTTAAAGATCATCTAATTCCAACCTCTCTGCATGAGCATGTCCATCTCCCAATAGATCAGGTTGCTCAAAGCCCCATCCAACCTGCCCTTGAACACTTCCAGGGATGGGGCTTTCACAGCTTCCCTGGGCAACCTGTTCCAGTGTCTCACCATCCTCACACTAAAGAATTTCCTCCTAATGTCTAATCTAAATCTCCCCTCTTCCAGTTTTGATCCATTACCTCTTGTACTCTCAATACAAGCTCTTGTAAAAAGTCCCTCCCCAGCTTTCCTGTAGGCTCCCTTCATGCACTGGAAAACTGCTGTATTCCCAACGCTGTATCATGTGGTGACACCAAGAGTACCAATATTGCAGAAAATGATGATATATGTCTTGATGCCGACTTTCCTTCCACTGTAAGATGTTACTCAAGCAAGCAGTGACCATCTCTGTGAAGTGCAGGCTGGGGTAAACCCACAGTGCTGGGAGTATGTATTAATGTTTATCTGACAGGTGACAAACCCAAATACATGGCATCTAATGGTGCTTGGTTATTTCAAGTGTGCCTGGTTATTCCAAGGAAGTCACATTGTACCCTCTAATGATTTGGAAATGCCACATGGTAGGATAACATCTCCAATGCAGAGCAGGATGTGTACTTATATACACGTAGATACATATATAGACACACTCATATTTAAAGTTAGAAAGTATCTTTTACTCCTCTCTTGACTATAAAGGGGTAATGGGTGTAAATTGGAGCATAGGAGGTTCAAGGTGAATATCCGAAAAAAAATTTTTACTGTGAGAGTGACAGAGCACTGGAACAGGCTGCCCAGGGAGGTTGTGGAGTCTCCCTCACTGGAGACATTCAAAACCCACCTGGATGCGTTCCTGTGTGATGTACTCTAGGTGACCCTGCTCTGGCAGGGGGGTTGGACTAGATGATCTCTCGAGGTCCCTTCCAGCCCCTAAGATTCTATGATTCTATGATTCTATATGATAAAGGATTTTCTTCTCAGAGGAAGGCTGTTTGATTAATTGCTGTCTAAGTAGACTGACTTTTATTTTTAAATTGAAAGTTAGTTACATTAGTCAGCTGTGGTTGCTAAAGTGTTTCACAAATAGTCTTACAGAGTTAGCCTAAGTTGTTTTTTTTTACATGCATTTACCATAAAATCAGATAGCAGTTGTTAAAAGATTATAAAATGTTATCAAAACATTGTATATATTTGTTGTATTTAATGTTCTCAAAAGAAGTTGATTTCTGGTACTGTGTGAATGACCTCTACAGACATTGCAAGTAGTATGATTGCTGCTTTTCCAGCTTTCCTTGATGAAATCCTTATGATTCACTATATCTTTATTTGAAAGTTCTGCATAGTGTGGTATTTTTTTAGTTTACATTTAGTGTGATTTTGACAATGAAGGATCCAACAGAAATGTCAGCTTTTCTGCTTCTCTGCAGTTCAGTTAGGCTTACAAAAAACACAGGACAAATTAATTTTAGATTGCAGCAAAGGAGCAGTGACATAAACTAACTGAAATGCAAAAGAGGTGAAGTTAACACAAGCTGAATAGCCATTTCTGGTGTTTTCTCTGTGTTGCTTGGAGAAATACCAGGTTTTTTTCCCTTTGCATTACTGATGTTTATCAACTGTATTCTAACATGTGAAGCCCTAATTTTATTCTCTAGAAACTATTTTATATGCTGTGATACTATAGGTGGTTATAAACACATAGTTTATTGAGTTCATTTTAAACCCAGATGCACATTATTCCAGTAACGCTCACAGTTCCATATGCTGTGTATATTACTAGCTGTTTCAGCAGAGACAAAAGAAGAGAAGGTTTTAGAAAAACTATTCTTGTGTAAATCCATCTGGGTTAGCTTAGAGTGCAACATAGACACACTAGTACATGGCTTGCACCGTATGATAAAAGCTGAGAATCCAGTCAGGCAAACATTGAAAATTATTCATTTTGACTCCTTACATTTCTAAGCTACAACTTTTTAAAAATATACAATGTTTTTTTCTACTTTGTACTGAGCAGTACTCACTGGGAATACACAAACTTGCAATACAGACTCATGATGAACTAGAAAATTAAATCTTTCCTGTCATTCCAACCAAATTCAATGAGAGTTCTGCAAAGGAATTGCATGGACACCAAGACTAGGATATTATATGTTGAAAGCAAGAACAAACTAGAGTGGAGTTTATCAAGAGAATCTATAGTTTCTTCTACCTAATTTAGGAAATAAATGTGTTATATATGGCACAAAGGTTTTTTAAAAACCTTGCTCTAGTATCACTTCAGTATTACATAAATTATTTACACATTTAATTTGTCTGCATCCAAATAGGAATGTCCAGCTTAATGAAATTACATTACAATTTGGCCAGTAAATTATTAAAACAGGAGAATAACTTGAAATAGTGTGGTCAGTTATCAAGTATCCACTGACCCCCCTGAGCTACCTATATGTGCTCTTCTGGCTCGTTCCATTCTTAGTATGCTTAGCTTGACCCACCACTAATGACATTGCTTTGGAAGTGGGACACATGGAGAGCATCCCCATATGGGTACTAGTGCTCAGGAGATGGAAGCAGAATACTTTCAAGTATGCACTCTGAGTGAATTAAAAAATCTTCCCCCTGACCAGGAGTTATGACCTCATTCTACTGTAGTTTCTCACCCACAATTAAAAAACTCTCTAGTATCAGCAAGATCCCATTTTTCTGAGGTTCAGCATGTATCTGTACTATGCTAATCCAATCTAACTGGATATTGCTTTACTGTTTCTGTTTTATTTTAGCACTTGTAACAGCCATGTTAGATTGGTCAAATGAGGCAGGAATGGTGATGTGCACGTGGCCTCTGTGTTTGTATGTGTGTGTGAGAGAGAGACAGAGAGAAAGAGGGATAAAAGAAACACCAGAAGACGCTGCAGAGCAAAGCCAGGTTTTAAAGAGTGCTGTTCCCAGCACTGGGTGAAACTGGGGAATGTAGCATTTCTGTTAAGGCCCAAAGACCCACACTCAGATAGACCCTCTGCTCCTCAGCCACAGTGGGGTGGCACCAAGGCTGCAGCCTACAACACGTACTAGCTCTTCCAGCAGCATGGGGAGAACAGCAACAGTTCACCCCTGTAAAATGTATATCCAAAAGTGAGCTCAGCATTGCCAATTAAGAAGAAGCAGAGACATGATGAAGAGGAAGCTGGTCTCTGCTGTCCCCTGCGTTGCACGCAAGTGATCCTGGCCAGAGGGGCACATGCATTATGGTGCTTCTGCATGTGCAGGTATGAGGCTGTGAAGGAACAAAATGGATGGAGAATGAGAGCAAGAGTGTAAAATCAACTTGTTTAAAGATTTAGTTAGAAAATCACTTCCTCTTCCATAAGATCTCACACTTGTGCTTGGTTATTCTGATTTCCCTGTGCTATAGCAGCGGCTGTCTTCAAATCTTCTATTTTCTCTTTTACAGGATTGTGATGCCTTTTGTGAAAACCTGTCTCATGGTATTGCCTTCAGTGCAAATTCTATGGAAGAGCCTGACAGATGTTTGCATCCTCCCGTTGTTTCAGAGCATCGGCCGATGCTTTGCCATGGTTAATATACGCCTGGACCAAGAGTAAACGTCAGGGATGTGACGCTGCTGTAGTGGTAGCTGGTGTTACACCTCTTTGCTAACCTAACATACAAGCACTTAACATTCATTCCAAACTGTAAAATGACAATGGCTGGTTTAAGTGGGAACATGCTATTTTTTTCTAAAACTCATCTGTTTTCAGGGAGAACAGTTTAATAAGTAGGCAGTTTTCACAGCTCACTGTTTTAACAACAGAGTGAACGCCAAGTACGTTGGCAACACTTTATTTTAATGGTACGTGAGTTGCTAGATTGCAGGAGAATTCTCATGGAGGTTTAACAGCCACTGCAGTGATAATGACTGGTGTTACTACTATAAATATTTAAACGGGCTGTGATACCTTAGGTGAAACTAATCTCTAGAGTTTCCCATTGACTTTACTGGCAGTCCACCAGGGATCATTTTTGGCCCTCACTATGCAGAGTTTTGGCCCTCACTTTGCTATTGGCAGTTAAAATGAACTGTTGTGTAATTCTTCTGTATTGGAGAGGAAAAGCTCTCTGGAAGTTTATCCCTTAAAATAAGGTGTTAGCTAATGATTTGGAACATCAGCTAATGAGCTAATGGTCTAACAGAAGATACCCCTGCCCGTGCAGGGGGGTTGGAACTAGATGATCTTTAAGGTCCCTTCTAACCCAAACCATTCTATAATTCTGTGATTCTAATCTGTATATTTTATTTAATGAGAGATTAACTTTGCTGTATATTTTGTACCTTTGTAAATGGCACTTGATCCGTTTTCTTTGAAGCATTATTTCTGTAGTATTGAATTCTAACCAACTTACTAAGCAGCAAGAGTGAGACACTGCAAAAAAATGCCTTCAGAAAATGAAGATTTTAGTTCCTAAATTACGTAGATTTTGATGTGTTGCTGTGCAATTCCAGTATATTAATTATATATTGTTGTGCATAAAAGCAAAGATTACCAGTGTTTTCATACAAGACTATGAAAGAGCTGAAAATATCTGTTTATGAGAAATGGTTTTTTATTAAAAATGGGGTGTAATAAATGCAACCCTGCCTATTTCTATGTATAATCTGTGCAAATATTGTGATATTTAAAATTATAAACACTACACTAGCACTTTACCTAGGTAGAAATCTCTTACAGAAGGCAAATGAGAGTAACTGGTATCCTTCCCTAATTCCCCTCACCTATTGACTTGACTCTCCATGTTGCTTATTTGCTACTTTAAATTGCCACTTTAAAGCCTAAGCCATAAAAAAGTTCTTGCTTCTGCATCTAATATGTCTTTGTAAACCAGAATAACAGAACATATGCAGAGGTACATTAAAATTACATTAGCCTTCTGATGGGCTTATGTTCTGCTTTCTTTAAACACAGCTGAAAAGTTGCAACTGTAAAATGTTTGTACGATTTAGAATGTTATTTTCTAAAATTATTTCACATATTTATCAAACAAGAGATAGAAAATATATATGTATATATATATGAATAATAAAATGTTAGCTTTTTTCTATTTTCACCTTCAGTTTTTCAGGTCTTTCAACTTTTAAAAAGCTCTGAATAAACGTATATATGCTGAACATACAGCATAGAATACTATGCAGTTCTTCCAAAATATGGGAGAGGTAAAATAAATGCTGATCATCAATATGGTTCCACTGTCATTAACTGCATTTAACTTATTTATAGTAGAAAATTATGTCTCTCTGTGGATAACTACACCCAGGCAGAATTGCTTTCTCTGAAGCAGGTCTTTCTGTGTGGAATTTTGGCTATGCTCTTTTTTAGGGGTGCATGTTTTATTTACAGATGAGCTGCTGACTTTTCCTTTTCTTGCTTATTGGCCTGCAGAAGCTAGCTGACACTGTATATTCTTTGTACAATGAGAACACCTTTGTACGTTAAAAAACATTTTTACCATTTGTGTCATTTAGAGAGGGATTCATATGGTTTTTCAAAACTGGATATTAATTACTAGTACCCATGGAAACTTCTCTTGAGTCTTCTGCAAAAATTTAGCTCACTGTTCAGATGTGCTCTTGAAGATACCTTTGTTATGTTAAAAATTGAAAGATCTCTTTTGAAAATAATAAATGGTCAGGCTAGACTTGAATTCTTTTGAGAGTTATTTTCTTTTACAGCATCCAAGGATTTCTACAAAGCTATTTTCCACAGAAAAACATGCCTGTGATTAATTCTTTTTTTTTTAAAAAAAAAAAAGGAAATCAATCAGTACTAATCCCTGTGTCTAAAAGGAGCCCCATAAAAGCCTAAGCTTTCAGGGAGCTCAGGTCTGGATCTAAACTTTGAAAATTAAGCCATTAACTAGAGAAAAGGTTATCATTTTATGTAATGCACTCCTGGATATATGCATTCGTACTGAAGTAATCTGGCTCTAGCTACCACAGACAATCAAGTAGAATGGTTTGCTTTGTTCTTATTTTTGTTTAGGCTTGTTATTAATTAGATCTTTTCACCATTTCTCTAGCTGTTACAAAATTCAAGTAAGCTTGTAATTAAGTAATTAAAGCTGTTAGTTTCTTAAATATTTTACTGCAGTATCTTTCTCTGGAACAGATGTGCTTTTACTATTAACAAAATACCAAAGGGACTGTTAGGGCTAGAGTAAAATAGTAGACACTTGGCAAATATGCTTACTTCAGCCATGAAAGCAGTGAAAAGAAAGTGTGAATATATACACTCCAATACTTAAGTGTGAATCTGCCCCAGGCAACTCTGGCTGGCAAGTTTTCTCTGGATTTTATGGACTGGACAGTTCTGACAGACATCCTGAAGCTCTGCCAGAGCTGATGCTGTCAATAGCTGACAGCACTGTTGGATAACAGGGACTAAACAGGCTCTGGCACTGAATTGTGATCTTCGATGTAGGGGTGGGTGCTTTAAGTTTGTCTCCAATTTGTTTGAAATGTGGACAAATCAGCCCAGCTGATCCCTTAACAGCAACGTACAAATGAGAATTTAGGCAAGAAGGGGAGGCCAGAAACTTAAGTCTCATTGTCTGCAACAAATATAATGAAATGTACACCTGATTCAAGTAATCTACTTTGATATATCTTCTTTCCTTTTATGGAATGGAGAAAATGTTACTGCTCTTACCAAGAGCAGACTTTCCATCATCTGGGAAGTGTAACGAAGATAAATAAATAAAAAGTGTGAGATGTTTTGATTTCAGCCTACCTCTTGTTACTGCAGACCTCAGATTTACAATCATGAGCTGGAGATTCAGTTCTGTCATGCAAAATATTTCAATATCTTGTTTTTCATGAAGATCAAAACTAACATACAGAACTAACGCCAGATTTATGCTTATGCATTTCTCCTTTTAATTCGCAAAGAAATTTAACCTGCCTCCTTAGGAAAGTGATTTCATTAAATCCTTCTTGTCTGACTCTAGAGCCTATCTTTCCTCACCCTAGTTGTTCACCATATAAATTGGAATAAATTCCTTACAAAAAAAATGACATAATAGTAAATGAGCCTTTTCTCACCTATCCAAAAAGCTCAGTTACACATACACAGACTGAAAAGTTCAGAACATCCCTGCAGCTCTGGGACCTCAGACTACACACTCATATTTAGTGGCAGCCAAAAAATGGTAAGTCCATTAGTTTTAGACTGTGTGATAATTCCTCCACCTGCAGAGATAAAACTAATACTGCTAAGCTGTAATAAAGCTTTCAAAAATAACTGGAAAAATATGTAGTTTGTTTTTTAAAAAATAACACTGCAAACAGAACAAGGTCAAACACCAGACACTCTACTGGTGGTGTCTGTTAGTGCACAGTGCTCATGAAAATTAGATCTGAAGACCTCCTGTGAGTATACTGAACCCCTACTCATGCTTTAAAAACTTGAAGTACTTTCTTCATGCCGAGATTGATAACTGAGAGGAGCATTTACAAAGACTAATTGTAGCCTGGTGACAGTAATATTTTAAAGCTTATTGCAACAAAAATAAAATGTCTTCTGTATAGTCAATTCAGAGGAGCTAAGATAGGTTCCTTCTCTGAATCAGCTTCCAGAGAAGACTCTGCACTTATCGATGTAGAATGTTTGGCTTAGCTTGTCTCCTTCGCTCCGCTACAGAAGTTTTATTTGCTACAGAAATTGGGCAGGCCTATGACCATCACCTACTTTAGGTGTTTGGTTTTTTCTGTTGTCTGGCTTCCCTCTCCAACTGCAAGTGGAAGAGAGAAGGACACCTTCTCAAGGAACTGAATTAGATCCTACTATAGACACTTACATGGAATAAAATTTAGAGAATTACACTTTTATTTCAAGCTTCAAGGAAAACTTGTCTATTTTGTCAACAGTTTAGTAAGAGCTGCTTTTTCACCTTGATTTGTATTTTATACTATCAGAGCTATCACAGTGCTACAACTATAAGCTAGGGTTGGCCATGAAACACTTGAACAGCAAACATCTGTGACAAGTCCCACCCTACATTAGCCTCAAGGTGTGGGTCTTTAAGCCCCATTAGTGAGACTAGTTCTCACAATCTGATATTTCTATAAGATACCTGAACAGTTAATAATATGCTAGAACTGATGAATGGTACAGAAGTGTTGACATGGACCAGCGTTCATGATCCAGGTCAGTATTTGCCAAGAAATTCGATACTGAAAAGGGCTGAGAAAGGAGTGACTTGATTTGCGCAAGGTCTGTCTGACAAAATTAAAGCTTTCAATCTATTTGCCTCTCCAGCCAAGGCAATTACCAGATATCTTGATCAAGACCTACAGGGACAAGCTCTAATAAAAGATGTACACACCTACCGCAGGACTGAGATGAGAGTCAGACACTTGGATCCAAAACTGCAATCCCTGCCCAGCTGCCACCCAACCAGGGACGTGTCTAAACTCAGAAGGCACCTCCTTCTCATGTAACCTACCCCCAGTGCCCATAGTTTTACTTTGGTCGTGCCCAGAACTGCCCTTGTTTGAGCAACCTGGCATCTTACTCACATCTAATCCTAGTCAGAATCCCAAAAGAAGGGA